GTATGCAATTGGTAACAGCAGTACAATGGAATTGTTCAAGAGTCCCCTATAATTTGCAATGCTGTGGTTAAACCATCCAGCCAGACAGCTTGGTCTGAAAAAATGAGTAACCTCACAGGGAGGATATTTCAAGGCTAATCCCAGCTCTTTAATTTTCAGCCAGAGCCTGTGGAAATACTTTGCTCGTGACTGACTCCATGTTGCCATCTGTTCTGCACAGACAAATTTAATTGCAGAGATGTTCCAAGATTTAGTAGCTGTAAAACTGTTCAACAGAGTGATGAAGTTATTTTCAAGCTAAATTAACTTGAAAATGTGTTTACTGGTACACGATTCAGATTCCTTCAGTACGTTAAACAGCCAGTACCTGAATATTTCAGGATGACACAAAGCATTTTCTTCTGTCCAGATTTTTTGTTTGTTTGTTTGGTGGTTGGCTGCTTTTTGTTTGGTGGTTTTTTTGGTGGGTTTTTTCTGGGGGTGGTTTTTTTTTTTTTTTTTTTTTGGGGTTGGTGTTTTTTGTTTTTTTTTTTCTTTTTTTTTGTAGTCAGAAGTGGCAGACAGTTTTTGTTTGTTACTTATGAATTAAAAAGCCTTATTGGAATGTCACAGATCACTCTGAAAATAGATGGGATGTGCCAGTGTGTTCTAACATCTCTTCTCTCTCTGCCCTGCAGCATTTCTCCTTCTGCTCTCTAAGGTTAACACAGCTGGAAAGAGCCACTGAGAAACGCAAGGTTGGTGAAAAATCTATTTGAACTCATCAGGCAGCTTCTGTTTGAGGGCTCCTGCATCTCTCAGGAGCAAAACCACAGTATTCTTCCCCACAGGGCCTGGCAGAATTAATATTAAACCCTTCACCAATCCAGTCAAAATTATTTTTTAAAAAATTATGGAAAACAATGTCATTATGCCGATATTTGTTGTTTATTCAAAGTACTAAGTTTTTTAATGCATGAAACCAGTGGACCAGGGCAGGAAGAGTGCATTTCACAGGGCAGCTTCAGGCTTTGCACGGGATGCTGAAAGGCAGTGGTGCCACCTGGTGATATGATTTTGGCTGGAACTCCTAGAAACTGTACAGGAATAGGATTTCCCTCATTAAAAATGGTGTTGCATTAGCAGGAGCTTTATTATCACTGTGCATGGACCTGAGGGGTACCAGGGGATGCACCTGGACATGGAACCTCACGCTGGAGTTTGTTCTGGCTGCAGCTCAGTGGGGTCAGTTTCCCCCGGATCCCAGGGAGCAGCAGGATTGTGAGGAAAATCTCTCAGAGCCAGGAGCTACTGCCTTTAATTGCTGTCAACAGGGGTGAGAGGCTGTGAGGGCCTCAGGACAGGCTGCTTCACTTTTATTTTTAAAACACTGTCAGCAAGGCAGAGCAGGCCGACATTTCCCTGCAGGCCGACATTTCCCTGCAGGCCTTCGCTGTTTTCTCTCTGTACATTGGCTCACTACTGAGAGATCTTTAGAGGAAGATGTGTTGAAAAGTTGAATTTAACATGGCCTGACAGTTTAAATCCTGAGGGATTCCCTTTCCCTGGCCCCTGTTGTGCCGTGAGGTGCAGTTAAAGCTGGCTGTGCAGGCCGGGCGCAAAGAGGGCTCCTGGAGATGGAAAGCCAACATTTTCTGGAAGAGACAGCAGGCAGATCACGGGAGAGACAAAGAAATTGCTCTCAGGTTCCTTTTGCTCTCAGATCAGTAAGGACAGGGGTGTAAGAGCCAGCACAGGCTCCCTTGGTGACTTCTGCGAGTGCAGCTGGTCCAGAGGAGCCCCAGGGATGGAGCACAGCCTGCCAGCACCAGACGCTCCTCTAGGTGTAGGAAGCCTCCTGTACTTCAGGAGAAACATCTTCCCTGGGGATGTTTGGAGAATGAAACATCTTCCCTGCTGCTGCTTCACTGTATTCTCCTTCCAGGTCAACCCTCAGAGCTTGGGACCATCTCTCTCTGTCCTAAACACAGGGATCAGCCTCTGTCAACCTAAGCCAGAGTTAACTCTGGAAACCTGCTTTGCAGGAACAAAGGCAGAACAGCAGGAAGATTCGAGGGGATCCACTTGCTGCCTGAAGCCTGGCTGCCACCCCAGCTGAACACAAACCAGGTTTTGGGATTTACAGGACCCCCACAGGGGCTGTGTGAGGATTGTAAGGAGGCTGGTGAAGAACAAGCACCGTGGTGAAGGGTGTCCTGCCTCCCTGTTTTAAACCAAAATCACAGCAGTCCCTCTCTGCAGTGTGAGCCTTCACTCTTCTGCAGTAATGGAGCCAACCTTGATCAAACCCTCACTTTTTACCTTCAAACACATGCTTGAGGTCACTCAGGTATGAATTACAAGGCAATGCCATTCAGATCCACCTCTTCACCCTGCTCCAAGCAAAGAGGAGGATTTCGAAAAAGCTGCTACAAACCTTCTTTGCCTCTTCACAGAATAAACCAGGGTAGAGCCAATGTCGTGGGAGCTGGCAGGGCATTTTTAACAAGCTTTCCCTTCCCCGTGGCCTCCAATCCTCACTCCTTTAAACACAACTAACAATGGATATGCAGAAGAGTTCTGACTGTAGCAGGGATCAGATACCAAAACTGATGGGACTAGGAAGTTCTTTGGTGTTCTGTAGGATTTCAACAACAGAACTCACCCTTTCTTTATGCTATTAAACTTCAAATTTTCAGTACTTTTTAGTGGAGTGTACTGAAGTTAGGGACAAACACGTATTGCTCACAAAGCAACTTTGCAACAGTCTGAGCAGCTCTTTTCACAGCACACTCCATGTCCCAGTGGACTTCAGTTTTAATGGGAGAAAGAGGAGTTAAGAGAGTCCTTCTCTGCATTCATGGGCAAAATGAACTGGAGCAGATTTTCAGATACCACCACTGCAGCTGAGACACACCAGGGGCTGAGGATGGGTCTGTGCTGTCTGGCAAGCATGCCAAGTTTTTCAAGGTTTTACAATTTTACATGGTTAATTTCTTATGCAGTGACCGCTGTTTCCAGACCTATGCGCGGCAAACATTCCTCCCCAAAAAACAACATGGTTTTGGTCTTAAGCGACACATGAACTGCTTTAAGCTCCACTGATCCTTTGCAAATTCCACTGCAAAGGTACTTTTTAGATGGAAGCAATAAGCATATTCATATCAGGAACCAAATTCAGCATTAACCTGTTAAATTACAAACATTACTCCCATTACATCGCATTAAAAAAAAAAATCAAAAAGCTTTGTTAAGACAAAAGAGTTGTATTGAATTCACTTCTTTTATTGCAGTGACATCCCCCTGGTACAAAGTATTAACTGCAATAATTACGTTAAAACATTAGAAAAGCATTTGTGTGGGACAGTTACAGTACAGTGTCAAATCTTACATCCTCAAACCAAGTGGGCCACAACCCACTAACGCTCAAATCTTTTAAATTATTTTTAGTTATTTTTTTTAAAATATGTAATGTCAGAAAAAAGCATATAAAAAGAATGTATGTAAAAGGAAACCTAAATACAAGTGAACAAATAAATAATTGATTTTCACCAGCTATTATTGTCTTTCTAAACCCATACAAAGGAACCTAATCTACAAGAAAGTATGAATTGCCATGTGTAAGTGATTTAATTTTCCACTTAATTAATGATTGGAACGTAAGTAAATTTGGCTTCAAAATCAAAGCAGGAGTTGGAGTGACTGCCACTAACTGACATCTGTTGCAGACAATTACCATTAACTGTTCAAATTTAAGTGAGCAAATAATCTTGGAACTTGCCCTCATCCTAGCATTAGTGGACTCCTGAGAGTGCATGTGAAAAGCATTCTATGGTATTTCACAGACATGACCTTAACTATCCCCATTATGCATATTTAGATATACTTTATATAATTTTATACACATATATGCATGTATACACACACTTCATTTGGTTTCTGTGTTGTGTTACAGATCACAAGCAATGGCTTCCTGAATGGGCAAATAAACCTTTTTAAATAAGTGTACCTGTGCACGTTTTGTTTTTCTATTTTTTTTTTTAAGATAGCAGCACTAAGTCCATGCCATACTGTCCATCTGCTCAAAAGAATGTTACCCACAAAACAAGGAGAAATGTGGCAATGATTCCAAATGCACAATGTGACCACCTTATCCCCTACAAAACACTGTAAAACCTGTGATATTTATGTTGGTAAGTTTGATCCACATCCCCTCACCTGGAAGGAAACATCACTCTGACCCCACACTGTCTGTCTTGTCTTACAATGTTTTATCATAACAAGCTGGGTTCATGCTGGCATCAGTTATCTCACACTTAGCAGCAAGACATGCATGTTTGTTTTTCTTTAGAAGTTTTGAAAAAGTGAAATTATTTCATAGTCTCAAATCCAATTGACAGAAACAGCAGAAAAAAAAAGAAAACAAACGATTTTTCGCAGTTTACCAAGAACTTGACAACAGTGTACACTGCACAGTGTATTTTTATCTTTAATCACAAGAAGTTGAAGCTCCACCTTGCCACGTAATGATTATAACTTTGTCCTTCCAAAGGAACACTTACATTTCAATCTGATCCTGTATTCAGCAAAAAAACCAAAACAAAACAAAAACAACTCAAACCAAACAAACAAATAAAAAAGAAAAAGGGAAAAAAAAAAAAAAGGAAAAAAAAAAAAAAAAAAAAAAAAAAAAAAAAAAAAAAAAAAAAAACAAAAAAACAAAAAAACAAAAAAACAAAAAAAAACCCAAAAAACAACCAACCAAAAAACCTTTTCTGTGCATCCTTAAATGAAAGTCACTCACCCACTGGTAAACTGATCCAGTAGCATGTCCAATGCTAGTATCAAAATCTTGTGAAATGTTTTTAGGCAATCCTTTCTATCCAAAAAAATATTAGGAATTTAAAAAACAGTTCACATTACTAACCTTTATACAAAGGCTCAAGTGAAATTTCTTTTGCAGGTGTTTGCAGTAGACTAAATTATGAAGTTTCCAAAATATACAATGAAAGGGCACACAAGACTGGCAGTTTCTTTATTGAACATAGAAAATGTATAAAGTAGGATGTATGGAATAGATCAAAACTGCTAGACGATAAAACCTGAGTATCATTTAATAAGACTAAATCCATTTTCTGACAACTGAATGAATTGACCTAAAAACATCTCTCCTAAGAACTTAGTGGTCCGTTTAACCATTTGTTGAAAAATGCGAGAGAACTGCAGCTTTTACATTTCATACTGGATAGCACAATTCCACATAGTGTTTACTGTTTTCTGTTAGATAGCATCACATTGCTTATATTATCCCCATTCAAGCCTTAAGTTGAGTTTTATGTCAAAAATAAGTTGAAAGTGACACTAAAACATAAGAGGCCAAGAAGTAGGACAGGTCTTTTATTTGCTTCCTATTTGTATTAAGATAAGAAGCCTCAACCAGCAAGATGAGTTTGATTTCAAGCAGAGCTAAGACTAAGAGGAAACTACCCTCTGCCAAGGTAGATAAAATCAGCTGTCTGTCTCAGACTACTGCCAAAGTAGTACACACTGTCAAATTTGAGAAAAAGGACCCTCTCTACAAGCAGAATTAGTTTTACTTTAACTGTCACAAAACTTAGTGGCAGTAACATCAGGGATTTGCTTTAGTTCAGTTGACCTGCCCCAATTCTCACCTTCAAATCTAACAGATATAATAATTAAAAAAAAAAACAAAAAAACCAAAAAATTAAAAAACCAAAAAACTTTCTGACGATAGAAAACATACAGTACTAAGAACTAATAGCTCAATGGAAGACTGAAAAGCAGCATTCATTTTTATTGTAATATGGAATAGACTAAAAACTAAAGGAAGTCTGATCGAAACTCTTAGTTGAAGGCAGATTTTGACATTCTATATAAATTTACAAAATAGGATGTATGGGTGAGATTTGGTTAATTTCAGAAGGCACCTCAAGGCTAAAAGGCTTTTATAAATCTATAATCCTTTCATTGATCAAAAATACAACATTTTATTGCTGCTATTCAAATAGCAAACAAAAAGCTCGTCTTGTTCTTCAGTCTAACAAGGAATCCTCCCCCATTAAGCAAGATTAAATTACAGAAAATATAGAATAAAACTGAAGATGTCACAACTTTAGAAATACAGTGACTTTCCTTGTGTGCTTTCAAGTCAGTGAAATAGTGAAAGAAGAGTCACTTTTTGCCTTTGTGATGTTAATGAGCTGTAGACCACGGCAGTCACTCTCCCCTGGGCACTGCAGTACCATTTCATCCCAGCTGTGCCACCTGCAGCACTCTTAGGAGTAGAAGGTGAGGACACTCTGATGATTCCCACGAACGAGGAGGATTGGTGGCAGATCTTTAGAGAGAACTTCCAGCCAGGCCATGTACAGTGCACTGGAAACTGCCCCTTTCCGTGCCACTGGCAAGCTCCTGCAAGCCACAAGGGAAAGAAATTTCACTGAGCAGAAAAACCTGGCCAGGTACAAGTCAGATCGTAATAAGTATGACAGATGATTCTACAAAGATCTAAATGTTAAGTCAAATTTCCTGATCTTCTTAATTTTATTATTTTTATATTATTTTTACCCTCCTCAGAATTATTGGGTTGAAAGTTTGTGTCTGAAACATCACAGGCATTTACATATATTTCCTCTCAGTTTTGGCCTGTTAACACCATTTAATATTCAGGCAGCTTCATGCAGAATCCTCCTAAGCTGAGGACACTCTCCTCATCTTCAGCATTTTAAAATACAGCAGTATTTTAAAGAAACCTACAAAAAAATCCTACAACCTACAAAAAAATCTGCCTCTTCCTTGCTCACACTAAAAGCAATCCCCCAAAAAATCTGTGAGCAAGGTAATGACTTAATTTTATCTAGAGAGATCCTCTAGAAAAGGAACTCAAAGGAAGGACTTGAGAAAGAGGGGAGTAACTGCACAAAGGAGTAGAAAGAATTTGAGAATCCTGAGCTGCACCACAAATGTGCAGGTGATAACTAAAGCAGCATAATCAAAAGCACAACAATAAAAAGGGCATTTTTTTCATCAGCAGAATAGTGGCCACATACTAAATACAGTCAGCAATGAAATCTTGATTATGCCAAGGCAAACACTTGCTCCTGATCTATATTTATATTTTGAATCATAGCTCCATATCAATTCAGGTAACACCAAAAGTTAAAGTAATTTACTTACATGACAATTATGTTAGCTGTACTTGAATGTTCTTTCAGCAACTCGTTTAACCTGATCTGTCGGTAAGTCTGTAAATGAAATTAAATTTGTTAGGAACAGCTTTTGTTTAAAAACTACAAAAAGTTCTTTTAAAAAAATAAAGATACAACCAACTGGAATGAGTAATTAATAAAAAGCAGGTACGTCCATCTCAGTGTGAAAATTCCTCATTATCAAAAAACCTATGGCTGTAAGGCTGGGTAAAAAGCAAGCAGCAAGCTCAGAATGTGCAAGTAAACCAAGTGCTACCCTATTACAGGATGCCATTTCTTTTCTCATGCAAAGAAACACCTGAGAAGAAATACTTTTGTGTCTCTATGGTGCACAATAGCTTGGGAAAGATGCCAATCCCTTAACTGCTCCTCTGCACCACAAAGTGTTGTGGTGTTTTTTTAAAAATAATGAAGTAAAAAACATTATCTTGATTTAAATTTAAAAAAAAAAGTGACAAAGACCTTGCTGTAGAGGAAATTATTCTAAACTAACTGCAGAAATACTGTAGGAAAGCAGTCTGGACCCTGCTGATACTCAAATGCAGAACCTTTTTGCCTACAATGGTTTTAGATGCTACTTTTTATCTGCTATTCATAAAAAAATGCTACGAAAGAGAGAGAACAACAGGAATTAACTCATTGTTATCACAACCACAAATGAAGAAGGAGAAGGAAATTTTAACTGACATAACATTCTAAAAAAAAGCCAGAACCTTTGTTTTGTAAAGCTCAAGCTCATTATCTGTTATCCTCCATGGTTCATCCTCCTTCATTTTATCTGCAACTTCCTGTTCCTTATCATCCTCATGAAGTCGGAAGGGCTCTATCATTTCCTCAAAAGCTGCAATACTGAAAAGATTAAATGAACAAATATTAGAGCAAATAGGAGCTTTTATGTCAAAAATTATTTTCATGGTATCAGAAATTAAGTTTTATTGCTATGCCAATATGTACTCAAGTTTTTCTCCCCTGCCTGTTGCAGTTAGAACATCAAATCAGCTTTTTGCACACGCAGACGTTGTGATGCAGCAAACAACTCACCACACAATTCAAGCTTTACTCAGTTCAGAAATTTACCTCTGATTTTAAAAGCTGAACAGTACCATCCCTAAAAAGGGGACAGTAACTAGGAGAACTAACTAATGTTACAGTAAAAATCAGCTATCAAGTCTCATGCCATTGCTGTTCGGATTCTGGCTTTGATCTTTTTATTTTGTTTCTTTTATCTCTTTCCAGTACAGTCCAGGAGCCACATTCAAATGAAAAAAATACAGATACCTAACTTAGTCTTCCTGGTGCACTTGTAAGAATATAAATACTTTGGATTTACCACGACATTAGAGCAAGAACTTCAGAATAAAACCTTCTGAAGATCAAGGAGGAATTAATTTCTGCTGGAAAGAAGAACCCATGTTACCCTACTTTTTTACCTACATTTCCTCCAGGAAATACCCACATCAGAAACAAAACATCTTTACATGTACCCTTGGTGGTCTTTACTGTACAATGACTTCACCTTAATCAAAAGAAAGAAAACAAATGTGATCTGCTATTCTTTGGCTGAGCAAAAAGGAGATCTAATAATAACATTATTATACAGCACAGCACCTGCTGAAAATTAATCTTCCTCCTCATGGTTCCCAGCTGTTGTTAATACCTAAATGGTATTTAGAAATATTTTGGATATGTTGTGGGGATGTATCCACAGAGACAGAAAGTAAAATGCTCTCAGAAGTAATCCATGGATCACTTCTAATAAACAAAAATAATTCCACATGATTCCAGGATCTCAGCTGTGATGCATCAGACTTTACACCTTTCACAGCAACAGGCTCCTGGAAACTGCATATCCAAAAGCACCACAGTGACAGAAATATTTTGTTTTCCTTTCTTTTAGTTGCTCAATGTATTCTACACATTTAAGAAAAAAACTACTAAAAAGGGTACAAAAGAACTCACAATAACTTTAGCATTTAGCCAAATTCTAAAATAACACTTCCCAATTTCCATGGTGTATCAAGACTCTCAGAGATAAATGCATGCCCATATAAAAGATATTTTTACAACTTCAGCATACTCAAGAAGGCCTGAGGGGAAAGGGGGATAATGGCAAAGGAGGATATTTTTAGATCATACACATTCTGTTCTAAATTTGTGCTGAAAGCCATCTACAAGTAATGCTTTTTTGAACTTGAAAGTAAGAAATATCACGTGTATGATCATTCCTGTGTACACTGAAAGTCCAAGCAAGTTAAAAAAAGGAGAAGGAAAAAAAAAGAAAAACCCAAATCAGGCTATTTCAAGACCAAGCCTTCTTACACTAAACTAAGACATCATGAGGTTCAGATCATTTAAGTTTTGGTGAACATCTCTCTTAAAGAAGATTGCTCCAGATAATTCAGGTTTTTAGTGTTTTTTTTTTTTGTGTTTTTTTTGGTTTTTTTTTGTTTGTTTTTTTTTTTTTAACTTCATTTTTCTGAATTTATTATTACAATCTAAGACCAGAGACTAAAAAAAATACAGATTTCTATATTCTTGGACATGGGAGTTATTGTTAATTAATTTCCCACATTTTTGTGAAACACTGAATAACACATGATCTTCTGTACCATAACATACATAGGCAAGACTGAACTGCTCTAAAATGAAGACATCACAAATTCAATGAACAAACAAGATGTGTTTTGAGACTTACTTTTCTTTCTTTGGCTTAGTATTAATATCCCCAAGGACCATAATGTCTGAGAAGTCTATCCGAAATTTGCTGAGCAAAGTGGCCATCCTGCATCAGAAAAACAAGCCTTTATACATGATCATAGTTTAAATTATTTCACAGGTTAAACAGACTGGTAATAAAAACCACTGGCTTAGGAAACAGAAAAAAAGGCATCTTAAATGTAACAAAGACAAAAATCAAACTGATTTGGCACATGACTATAAATCAACAACATCCTTTGGAAAAAAAAAAAAACCAAACAGCTTTATGGCTTTAAATAAGAGAAGAGCTCTCTCTTGAAGATGATCTCAGAAAATATTTGGAAATAGTGTCAGATAATATTGCAGAAAAATTAGTTTGAGGTAACTCATTCAAAAACAATCAGGGGGAAAGAAGAACTTTTTTTCAGAAAGGCAACAGAATATAATCACCCCTCCAGCAAAGAACAACTGAAATAAGGCTAGTAGGAAGAGAAGTAATCCAATGTAACATGCTGTATCAGCATTTGAAATGGAATTTTTAAGGCAAACTTACGCTCTTCTGTCATGATCAATCCTGTTGATTTTTCCACCAATGAACACCCTGATCTTGCAGTCCTTCCACTTCTTCTTGGTTGTGATAAGGTAAGGAATCAACAGTGTCAAGCCTGTGATTTGAACAGAATTTCAGACAAATTTAGAAAATTTTACTTTGTTACATAGTACAGGTTTTGTATTAACTGGCAGGTATCTATTAACAACTAATCCAGAATTACTCCAATTTTTTTTTAATTAACATGTAAAGGTTTTCAATTATGAAACACATTACCTCCATCATCAAAGAGCCACCAGACGTCAATATTGCTCTTGCCTTGTTTCTTCTGGAACTGAGAACTGGCATCAAGAAGTCTTTGGTCAGCCACATTTAAAGGAGAGGATGAGCTCTTTGAATCTGGCAAAAACATATGGTGAAATTTTGGTTTTGAAGTGTTTTGCTTAATCACTCTGAAAATCATCAAATGCAACACTTAACATTGTGTGATATACCTACTTTTAAATTAAAATTTTCCTTTGCACCCCCCAACCCAGCTCCAAATTTTGATTGACTGGATATAAACTGAACTGGCTGTATTTATGGTGTCTAGAGACTCATAATTTCAGCAGCTGAAGTCTTTTAGCAGGCATCTGAGAAATAAAGGATGTGTGAGGTCCCTACGCAGGCATTTGCCTGGACTATTTAATTAACTTTGCTCCAGAGCTTTAGGCCATGCACTCTACCTCTTGCAAATGACAGAACTCCTCTAAAAATATGTAGGTAACTGATTTTACAAGTAAATGTCATGTCCTAAGAAATTCTCTTCTTAAATCCAGACTTATTTAAGCATGTGGCGAAATGAAAAGGTATTTATGCATACTAGGCCCTTTTGCAAAAAGTACTGTTTTGCATAACAAAGTTATTTGATTTACTGAGAACAAGACAATAACAGCATTTTCAGTTAGAATAATACAGATCCCATTTTTGAACTGCAGGAAAAAAAATCCCTAACCTCTTTCTCTTAATTAAAACCTCAATCTGATCAAGAGCCAGGAGTCTGACATTTGTCTCTGTCCTTATTTTATTAGGAATTTTTTAAATTTAGAGCACATCTGTGATTGATTTACATTAACATACTACTTTATTGCATACTGGGACTTCTTCCAAACTGCCATCTTGTGCTTCAAGATATAATCTCACTTTCCATTATTAAAACACAAAAGATTCTAGCTGCTGAAATTACGAAGAAAATGTCAAAACAGATGAATTGAAGTTAAGGCAAAAATACCTGATTGATTAACTCAGAACAAGTCAGTGAAAACTGCTCAGTTAATTTCTCAAAATGCTGATTTGAAAGACTAGTTTGCATTATTTCAACATGTTCATCTCACTGGGTAGCTGCACTAAGCCTTAATTCTGAGGATATTGAACTATTTCCAAATAACAGAGCAACAACCATGACTTTGGAAGGTACACAGACAAACTGAGAGCACTTCCACTACACCATCAGATGCTGTTTCCTGAGAAAGCAGAAAGGTCATGAATACATTCAAACATTACTTTACAAAAATAGATTTTTAGTTTTTTTTTCTTTTAATTCCTACACTTATGCACAATCCTTTCTCAGTAGCAACTTCTTCTGGGAATTTCCACAACGTTGCTTTTTTTTTTTTTCCACAGCCTAGTCCCTATGGATGAAGCACATTCTAAAGCAGATATGAAGAAACAAATAAACATTGCATGGTTGGTGTTTTCCTCTCTGGTACTTAGGTGTAGAAAGAATTACAAAAGGAAAACTAAAATCAACAATGTGAAAGAATGATTTAACACAAAAAGATGGAAAATGCCTGCCTTTATTCAACAGTGGTTGTGTTGGAGTCTTTCCATCCTCATCCTCCTCTGGAAGGTTTTTAAAGACACAAAATAACAAGGTTAATTTCCTTTGTGATATTAATGAAAACAATACAAATGTAAATGAAAAAAAATAGAAAATAAAGATGTGAAATGAAGCAGGGTTTTTTTGCACAGAGAAAAAGCACACAAATGCAGTCTACCAAATCCTAAGATTCATTCCTACTTCTAAAAAGTTATATATACCTCCACTACCCATCTAACTATTAAGACTTTTGCTTTGTAAGAAAAGAATAAAGTTGTTCATTGTCATGTCAAAGTATCTTGAATGATTTCTATCTGTTAACATGCACATGATATTCTAGTCTGAGATGAAAAAAAACTCCATAAATTTAGCAGCCTTCCCATCACTCAAAACATACAGATGTGGGCCACAATCCTCCAGCACTTCTGACTGTCCCTCAAACTCAGTAACAAAACCAAGAAAATCCATTGTAAATCATTGCCTACCAGCTGGTTTATTTAGGGGACTAAACACAAATATTTATGTTACATAAAATAAAGATCCGACAAAAAGTACTTAAGAGATCAGACATCAACATCTATAAAATCATAACACTTCTATTCCACAGACAAAAAAAATCCCCTAAATAATCCCTGGGCAAAGAGAGAGAGAGAGAAGGAATGAAAGAGTGAGAATTCAAGGTTCATTGCCAACTAGCAGTTACCTTTGCGTGGAGTGGGAGTTCTTTCACTGGACGATGGAGCAAAAGCTATGGAAGTGTCTGTCTCAGACTTCTTGCTATAATCCACTTTTACTATGACATCCTTGGCGCAGGGAGACTTCTCTTGGGATGACAGCAAATCTTTGTGAAAGCAAAACACCTATTAGAAACCACTCAATTGTTACACATAGCATCAAGAGAGGTATGTTCCTATACTGAGCCGGGCTTAAAATTAATTTCATGCTGCTGCAACTGTTAGACCACAGCAAAGAGGGCAGGAGGGGGGAAAATCAACAAAAAAAAATTCTGTAAACTTCCTCAGAGCACAAAGAGGCTCTTCCCCTGAGCAGAGCTGTCATTTTCTGCTCCTTTCCCAGGCTGTGGTGCTGATTGCAACCACACCTCCTAAAAACAGAGCTAGGTAACACTGTGGAACTACAACTAGAAAATGGAAAAAAAAAAAAAAAAAGACTTAGTGAAATGTTTTCTGTTTCTGCTTTTAAATCCAAGAGGAAGATGAGCCTTAGGCATGGCACAGACCACGTGTGTCCATGTCACTGCCAAGCCTTTTTTTCCAAGTTTGGCTTCTGTGGAGCAGCTGTCAGAGCTGAAGCAAACTCACACAGACCCCACTGGGTACCAAGATCCTGCTGACACCTCGGTGTTACATTCCCAGTTTTCTCAGCAGTGCTGTTTCCACACTGCAGGTTCACTCCTTGCCATTTCTAACACTCCTCTGCCCTCCTGCACATGGTGACAGGCTCCCTGACTCTCTCCAAATACTGAAACATTCATCTGTTCAGTGAAGGAACCTCCTTTTTCAGGGGGGATGCCCCTCCTTGTGTCATTTCTCCTCATGGCAGCAGCATTGTATGGAGCAAGCCACAAAAAAATTGCACATTATCAAATCAGGGCAGCTGCACCAAAGCTCACAAGCTTGGAACTGAACTAAGATGACACCATTCCACTTAAGAACACTACTCAGAAAGCATAACCAAGTCTTCTACAGAGAAAACCTTTCCAAATTTGAATCAGAGTCCCTAAACTAGTCTGCGTAGGGGTTGGCAACACACACCAAACTCAATGGCATTCCTGCACAGTGCAGTATTTGTTGTGGTTTTACAATTCCTGGGCTTGAGCCCCAAAGATTTGATGCCAACTTGCCAGCATCACTAATTAGTTTCAGGAAGTAGCAGATCTTCTGGAAGATCTTCTCTCTGGATGCAGCTGTATACAATTTGCAAATACAAAAATGTGAAACACAGAAAATCCAAGTTCTGCTGCTGAGCATGGGTTACTATCTTACAGTTCAGATTTACTAATTTCACTGAATCTTATTGTACCACAGCAGTGGTGTTTTCTTCCTTTTTTTACTGAGCTTTAGTATTTTCAGAACGCAGTTTTAGAAGGGAATTAGAACAGCAAATTCACCTGATGGAACAAAGTCATACCTTGGCCCTGAAGGTGAGAAATGTCCAGGCCCTCCTTGAGGCGAATGACAACTACACCATACTGAACATCAAAGGCATCACTAAACAAAATGGACAAAATTAAAGTGTTTTAAAGCTTTTTCTTTCCCAAATGAAAAATGCACCCTCCCTGAACAAATTCTATTGATTAAGCACTGCCTTTGGAAGTCCCAAATTATAAATTTGTTTTAGAACGTCTGTTTCAATTCCAAAACATTAACTGAGCATCATTTTAGGAAAAAGAATATTTAGAAAGGATACCTATTCCTTCTACTCCCTCTCTCCACTATGTAAACAGTGATTAAATCAGTGTGAATACATCACTCAAGTTCTGCACACACAGTAAGATCCACCAAGAAATATAGATATTTATCTCCATGCATCAAAAAAGGGATTTGAGTAGATCTTTTTGATCTGAGGACTAAAGATTTCTGACATCTCTCCAAAATGTTTGGGTATTAAAAACACCTAAGATGATGCAATTTAGTATCAAATTAGCTGTAAGTTAGCTGTAATGTGCCTAGTCCCATTACATCTGATAAAGGTGAAACTCACTCCAGTCAAAAATAAAGGAGAACTTCATTACTAGAAAAGAGCAAAAACCCTGAATAAATTGCTGAGTAAAAGTGCAATAAAACTGGTAACAACCACACCCCCAAAATATAAGACAAGAAAAAAGATGAACTTAACCATGTCATACCATTTGCATTACTCATAAACCACCAACCTTCACAAATAAATACCTTGTTCAATACAAAAAACCATAAATCAGAGAACTCCCTCCATATCATTTCCACAGAGAGAAATTTTTCAGGATTTCACTAATTAAACACTTTCCTTTAAAAGTAGTAAGAGTTAATTAGAAACGTTTGAAGTATCAATATATTCTATAAGTGCAAGAAGAATTAAGAAAAATTGAGAAAATTGAGGCTGATTTAACATTTGTTTTGTCTATTAGTGAACATTTTAATTTCATTATTTAAAGTGTTAGATTTGTGGAGATTAGATGTGTTTCTATTTTGTGTGCTTCAGAAACTTTTAGTTTTCCAGAAATACATTTGACCTGCAATTACCTCCTGAGGTTTCTTTAGGGATGTGGAGAACCACATGACTTGCTGACCTTGACAGATCTTCCTGCAAAAGCCATCCCAAAATAAAATAGAAAAAAAAAGTAAAAACTAACCAATGTGTTTCCTTATTTTTCCACTGTATTTGGTGCTCCTGCTTTTCTGTGAAAGACCTAGGTGAGGTGATTTTTTTTGGTCCTTTCCTAATATCTGCCTGTCTAAGCCTTAAGCCCCATTCTCTCTCTCTTTTAAAAGCATGGAAAATGAGAAATACAAGACACAAAGCAAGTGGGTTAACCAGCACTTCAGTTGAACACAAAAACCTCTCCCTGTAAGTAAAATAAGCATTTTTTTCCCTTAAGTGTTTGAGTAGCAGCACAAGTTACTTTTACTAAATTTTTCAGCCACAACTGGTCTGCCTTTCAGTACTGTCAAGTTACTCTGGGATTTCCCTTCTCTTCTCCTTTCTGTATTAGCCTGGGTGTCAGTGCTCTGTATCTTGTGAGTAAAGTGTTTCTACTCCTTTTCAGCCAACAGCTCTCAAACCTCAGACCTCTGCCACAACTCTTTTTTGAGGCAGAAAGTTATTATGGAGATTTCTAATCTTCTTAAAATATACAGATTTGCTTATTAATTTCCATATCAGAAAAATCCCAAGGTGCTCAAGACAGCTGAATGTAAAATCTAGATCCACTTGAAAGAGACTTCATGTAACTAAGAACTTTCTTACTAGCACACTGAAATGGAACATAGCAGCTAAAACTTTGTATTTTCTACTTACTGGAATAAATTGATGTAGGTTTCAACATCTCTCATATCACCCTGTCTCCAGTTTTTCTTAAATCCAACGACAAGGGTGTTAGGTCTCATTCTACCCAAACCAGCAGCCTAAGAAGAACAAGAAGTATTTTATAAAAAAATATGTTACTGACACAACTAAAGGTTCTGTTTTCTGCTTAAGAGAATAGTAAAGTACTTTTCATCAAAGCTTTAAGACCTTTAATTCCTTTTAATTCCTTTGCAAAAGGAATGCACCTCAAAGTATAAAGCCCCTTCTGATTTTGACGTGCATCTTCAGCACTTTAACAATTTTTTTTAAATACCTGCATTAAGTATTGTCCTCCATCCCTCAAGTCCTCTGCATGCACTGGTGCATAGAAAGCTTTCATCTTGTTTTTAATTAGCCACCGCTGATATTTAGCCAAATCAGTTGACAGTTCCTTCATGGCTTGCCTCCGAGGACCCTTTCAACAGAAGGAAATAATAAGAGGGGAGGGAACAAGAATTAGGAATATGAGTAATGGGAGTAAAAAAGCCCCTCCCAATTTTTTAGTCACTGCTAGAAACCAATTCAAATTCCGAGAACCTCAAAACATGCTTTCACACTATCAGGAACACCCCAAACCACAAAATACCAGGCATTATCAGCAGCAAAAACTGAAAAACTTTTACCATCTTTAGGAAGAGGGTTGCTCAGACTTTAGCAATCTTGTTCCTGCAGAGCACAACCCTCTTCCCCAGGGGGTGGGCATCAGCTTATCCTCCAAAGCATTAACATAGTTTTAAAAAAAAAAGGGCTTTGTAAAAAAATGTACACAGATGTAGGATGACTTAATACTACACTTTATGGGACTCTTTGTATCCTGCAGTCAAAGTCACCTCCTCTTTAAATATTTCCTTTGTGTTATTTCTGTCAGGGTGAATCTTTTGTGTTCCTCCTAGACATCAAAATGCAGAATACAGGACAAGGAATAATCAAGAACGCAGCAGCCCAGTTTTTGCAGAAGGACACAGCCTCAACCAAATGGGCAAAGATACTGAAGAATGAGGCAGTGCCACCCTTCCTGTAGGAAAGTAATTTTAAGTAGGGAAAGGATATGCTCTCAAAAAAATCTTCAGAGTTGCTTTCCTACAAGAAGGATGACACCACCTTATTCTTTTTGTATAGCCCTACTTTTAAAAGGCAGTGATTACATCTGTGATATCTCCCAGGCAGTACTCCGTTTGTCCCTTCATATTCACTGAAATATTAAGTTTATATAGACAGAAATTAAAAGCTTTTTAAGACAGAGTATGTGAACTGCATTGAGCTGATTTGCTTTAATCTGTTCATTAGATCAGAAAGCAAGTCATGCTTGGTAAGTGTAATAAATTTAAACACATTTAAAAGTAATCCATGTTTTTATCCAAAACCTTCCAGGTGTGTCACCAGCATGCTCAGCTTGGTGTCAGCTGCAAACCTGCTGAGAGTGGCCCTGCTCTCCCTGCCCATGTCACCTATGAAGACCCCCAGCCCCAGAACAAAGCCCTGAGGGAGACCACTCATCACCAGCCTCCAGCTGGACATGGAAACACTGACCACAACTCCCTGGCTGTGTCCATCCAGCCAACTCCTCCTCCACTCAATCCCACACCCTTCAAACCCAGGTCTCTTCAGTTTGGAGATGCCAGTGTCACACAGGACTGTGCTGAAGGCCTTGCAGAACTCTGGGTAGGTGAGACGTGCCAGTCTTGGACTACATCTCTTATTCACACACTTGTTTAAACATTCTTAGTGATGTGACACAAGTTCAGCTTTCAGATAAGAAGCAAAACTACAATTCCAGTGTGGTAAAATGCATTTATCTAAGTTTATCAGAGATGCCACAGCCTCTCTGTAGCTAAATGGAAGCTTTGGTATAGATCACTGTATGACAGCCATGGTAAATCTCAACAAAACTCATGACAAGCTGATTCTGAAGAAAAGTTACTTGAAAATTGCTTCCTTCCCACCATCACAAAACCACTCAAGTTTGCCATGTAAGACACTAAGCAGTAAGAACTGTTAGAATTATATCCTTGCAGAACCTCTGCAAAAACATCCTCACTTTATATTCAGACAAAAACACCCAAGGATACTTAGTGAAATATCAGAGGCTGGTCAGAAAGGGAAGAGGAAACATCTGATAAATTAATCTGATAACTGAAGGAATAAAAAGCTACTTGGAAGGTTAAAAGCAATTTTTGCATTGGCTACACTGATATTGACCTCCCTGCTCAAGAAGGTTTCTTTTCTCCCGGGCTTTTTAAGAACTCTGGAAGGGAATCAATATCCCAATGTTCACTTCAATTAGAAGTAAAAGGTCCTTCAGCATTTAAGCATCAAATTATCAAAGGTACTGATTTTTTACAAATTTTTCCCCATAGTACACCTAACTGGCATAGTGATGACCCATACATTAGCAAAACTTACCAGTAAATCTCTTCATGCACTTTTATATGTCTAATGATGCTTTCATTAAAAAAAAAAAAACCCAAAACAAATAGATGAACCAAAACTTAAACATGAGCCAGAAACAAAGTCAAACAGGTTAAAAAAACCAAACCAAACCCCAAAGCAGAGAGAAGAAAAACACCACCAAGGTAACTTTGTAAAGAAAAGACAAAACAAACTTACCATATGTACATGGCCACAGATCATCAAGCCCACATTCTTGGTAAAAGCATGGACAAGGTGAAGCAAAGCTGGACGTGCATTTGGAGCACCTGTCATAATTAAGCACTGAGGTCTAGAATTTTGAGGGGGAAAAAAGAAGACTGGAATTAAAATTAGTCTGGAGCTCTGGGGCTTTTTTATTAACAGAAAAGTTTCTTCCAAATATTAGCCATAACAACATATTCATCATGTAAATTTAATAACCTCATCCACTTTTGTAAGACTATGTTAAATTAAGAAAAGATCAGTTGTTACCCAACTGTCAGCAGATCTATGACTAACTGCATAAAAATTCAGTAATCCCATTAAATCTGAAAATCTACACATTTAAAAAGCTGCAGAACAGATTTTAGACAAGACTAGGTCAGAGGGATTAAGTTTTCCTTCCCCACTGGTAAAGGACACCCCTTGCATTTTGTAGTTTATATTCTTCTATATCCAGCAGAAATAATGGAATCATCTGCTGATTTTTACTTTACCTTCCTTCTGAAGGCAGAGCCAACCTAGTGCAACTAAGTCAAAGACAACTTTAAAATCAATTTTGAAAGAGGAAGTGTCCAAACTTCAGAAGTCATTACAGGAGATCACTTTTCATCATCATCATAATTAATAGGTGATACCACAAGAATCCCCTAAAGTAATCTCTCAATCTCTTTAGCTGCTCCATTTCTTTTTCATGGGTGCTCTGTTGAAAACTGTGCTGCTGCCAGGTTCTCCATAACCTCAGAGGACGGCACCTTTACTAATAATCCCACCTAATCTGTAATTCCATTTACTTGGATGAATCACAGGAGATGAACATGGAAACCTTGACAGCACGCCTCGTGACAGCAGCTTAGTGAACACAGAATTTTCTGTCTTTAAGCGTTACCTGAAGTTTTTCACGTGATCTTCCACTCCTGAGAGCCGAATGGAATGCTGCAGAGCATTCAGGTAAGTCAAGGCTTGAGTTGAGGATCCCCAGTTCACATCTGTTCAAAGATTTGAAGTTCCAATGTGTTATTTACAGTTGTCTGTTGTAAAGCTACACGATCACAAAATGAATGCTGGACACTGACTAAACCCACAGATTTAAGCTACACCTTGCTACACTTCATACAATACTAGTCAACAAACCCTACAGCTTAACAGGCAATAATTATATTTAAAGATAACATTTTTGTAGAAGTTTAAGCAAAAAAGTTATTGAAGGGAGTAACTGGCTTTTTTAATCTCCATATTTCAAAGACCACAACAACTTCATAGTCAAAAGAATACCACTTGAGGAAAAAATGCTCTGCTGAGTTATTTTATACCACAGCAAAGAAAAAACTGAGTCTCAAAGCATCACCTAAACAAATTCACATACTTTCAGTGGAAAACTGCTAGATTAAGCAGATCCTTTCAGATTATTATTTTTATGAGGAAAAGGGAGACTCCACTATCATCTTTTTCCTCCCATACACATCTCTTGATAGCCAGAATGAATTTACCATTTTCCATATGCACCTTTTCCTCCAATTATCATTTGGACATTTATGCCTAAGTGGCATCTTCATAATTTGGGAGGAAGGGGAACACCAATTACTACACAGGAAAAATTCAATTTAATTACAACTAACAAGGCTGAAAGAGAAATTTAATCTAGTGGTCCAAACAGAAAGAAGTAGCTGGGGTTCTTCCCTGCCAAGGCCATAATTTTTTCCCTTCTTTCCCCTCTCCACAACCAAAAGAAGTCCCTGTACATACCTGGTTTCTTGTAAGTGACATAGATGTAAAGCCCAAGGACTATTACATAGGTTAGAAGTGCTGCCCACCAGTTAATAACAAACATTACAATGCAGCACAGAATAGCTCCAATGAGAGAAATCCACATATTGTAGTATTTGAAAGCAGGCCGCCAACCTAGTTAAAATAAAATTTGGGAGGGTAGAAAAAAAAGAGGGGGAAAATTAATTTAAATTAAAAATTTAAAAGAAGCACTGCACTTTTTTCCCTTCCTCTGGTATTCTGCATCCATTACAAGTAAACGTCTGACTTTCAGTGCTGTACAAAATGCAGACTGGCACATTTATGCTTTCCATTTTCCAACACCTTTCAAATGAATTTGCAGCTTTCTCACACAGATATGTAAATGCTCCTATTTTTTTCCCCTAAAAGCATAGCTCAGAAGGGAAGTTTGAGGATGCTTGTCCCAGTATGTCTATTGAACCAGGTTGCCTGACATTCTATTTTTCCTTGCAAGGTAAAAAAGCATAAATCATCTCATAGCTCAGTTTCTTACATACTACTGGTTTTAGTTGTGCATTTTTACTGTTTTCACATAGAAGTTCTCACTACCTGAAAAGGAGAGGTATATCCAAACAGAACTCTGGTATATCCAATTACTGGACTGCCAGTGTTTTACATTTTTTGCCACAAGTTTATAAAAAATCAGGTATACACACCTCCACAAATATATCCAAGATTAACAAATGTATTAAATATAGAGTTAAATTAAAGTTAGGACTGTTGTGCAAACTGTTATACTCCCCTCTGAGAAGAAAAATAATAAATCTACCCATTCAGTAACTTAAGAAGCTTTTAGGGGAGTTACTCCAGTACAACTGCATGTGGACTGGGAATAATGTACATCTGTTTTGCAGGTACCAGGTTTTGGCTTATTCCTGTAGTTTAACCCAGACTAAAAACTATAAAAATGGGGCAATACCACCAGCAATTCCTGTTTCTTCTTGTGTAAAAGACAAAACACATTAACAGAAACTGAAGACAACAAAAGGTGGTTTGCCAGCACCGGCTACTGAATTAGCAAAAACACTTTCTTCCCAAGTTTCTGAATAAACTGAATTATCTTGTGTTCCCTCAGCAAAAATGACAAAATTAGCAGCCCCCAAGCCCGACTGAATTCATCCAGTTCTCAAAATTTCAGAAGACCCATGAATACAACATATTAAGCTTTTAATGCCATGAGTAGTTCCTACCTGGAGATTTTGCAAGAGAAGCATGGAATACAGAGAAGTTAATCAAGGCATATGAGGCCAAGAAGAAATTAGAAATAATTGGAGCAATGACATTCAGTTCAGCTGTAAAATGAAAAACAAAAAAAAAGAAAGCAAGCCGTTATCAAAGGTATCACCCAACGCTTTTGAAGACTACAGTGAAAAAATTCTGCTGCAAAGAATCTTATTTTTTTATATACTCTAAGGAAATGCAGTTTACCCTTTTTGCTGACAGAACTATTTACTAAGTTATCTTTTTAACAGTTAGGAAGTGTAGCTTTCAGTTTGAAAAATATAAGCACTACCAAGTCTTGAAGCACTACCTAGTTTTTCAAGATCACTAATTGAGCAAATTTCATTCCCAGCAGGGCTTGAATCAAACAGTGCACTAACACACTGGGTTCTGAAGAATTCCAGCAGATTTAAATATTATAGACCAACTCCATCACAACAGTGATGCTTACATCCCATTCAGTAAGAGGGAAAAACCTGATGCTCTCTCCTTTCCTTGAGGCAGCATAGTACAAAACATTTTTGTGTATTCTCGCCATCATTAAAAAAAAAAAAAGAGAGAAAAAAAAAAGTGATCAAAATGCAGAATGTGCCATCCTAGTCTGCAAGTTTCTAGCTGCAATCAAGCTTCCAGTCGGCATGGCTCAGCTGGGACTCCAAGGGTGTATCTCTGCCTCAAGCAGATGTGGAGGAAGGAGGACAGAGAAAACTGGGAAAAGAAGTTAAAAGCACTGGCACAGGACTCATAGATGGACACAGCACAATTAGTTTGCCACCTACAGAGAACACGTGTAATTAATTATACCTAGAGAACCTTTAGCAACAGCAGTGCCAGCACTCAGCTCTACTATTTGTAACTTAACAGAAAGAACATTTTAAATGATATTGCTCATGCAAGTTTGTATTTTACTGAAGCTGTCATTATTAAAAATCTGAAATAAACTTTTCATATTTACAGGATGTTAACACTGTCTCAGGCAAAGGACATATTTCTATTGACTGATAGCACCTAAAGACAGATACCTATGATTAAAAAGAGAAGTGCAGTTAAAATTTACTGCAGCTCTTGACAAGAGCTGTATCTAGGAGATAGGAGAAAGTAAGCCTCAAAATAACCAGATTTAGAATGCTGGCTTAGAATTAAGCTGTGTATTAGATCTCTAGGACCCTGTCATCAAGTCCACAACATGCTTTAGAATGCTTTCTAAAGGACAAAAGGTGATTGAGATTTACTAAAATTTCAAACTAACCGATCAGTATGAATCCAAGAGCAATTAAAAATGTTAGAATGTATCCTCTCAGTGGTTCATTGTTCTTCCCATAGCCTTTAGCAAACATCTGAAATCCTGGATAAATGTTGTCTTTACACAAAGCCTAAGGGGAAAAATTAAAAATAAAAAAAAACAACAACAAAACATCAAGAGTCAACATGCATTTTGCTCATGCCATCTCCCATTGCATACTATCTTTCTGAATACTTCCTGATAGTTTATAACCACCATGGACTAATTGTATTCTCAACTGTCTCTGCATCTTGACATTTTGCATTTCTGCTGTTCTATCCTTCAGTAATACCCACCTACAAGAAGTAGATTTGCTCTCCTGTAAGTAGCTGTCTATAGTACTTGACTACTGTCTTACAATCACAAGAAGTCTTTTCTTACAGATTGTATTTTCTCAGGAAGTGGAAACTTTGCCCAATATACACACTAGCTCTCTGCATCAATACAACCGACCCCCCACTTAACTTTTTTTAACCCAAATTAAGACAGAGAAGGAGATTCCATAGTTAAAGAGAAGATCAAGCTAAATATGCTCAGGAACCCCAACAAACAGTAACAAACTGTTCTCCCATTCTAAACAACAGGTAAATATTAGAACAATCCACTGATGTAATCTGATATGGATAATGATGGCATTATGTCAGAGTCCCCTTCCCAAAATCATGACTCAAAATTGATTGTTCTTCAAAATATTACTGTTTTCTTCCCTTACTTACCTGGAAGATCTTAGGGGCACTCACAAGAGATGCTAATGCAGATGACAGGGTGGCTGAGAAAATACCTGCAGAAATCAGTGGTGCAAATCCTGATACCATGCTCATGACCTGAAAAACAAAATAATTTTTAAAAAATATGTAAAAAACTACACTACACAAACAGAAAAAAAAAATACTATGCACTCCTCACTTAAAAGCTGTCTGAATATCATGTATTCATATAAATGAATGAACTAGAGACAGATCAGGGAATATAAATGCATCCTGATTTCAGGACAAGAGATGGTGGCTTTTCACACAATATAATTTGAAGCTCACATTATCAAGAGCAAAAGTCTTCATGGGCTCATAAGAAGATGAAAAGGAAGTAATGGAAGAAGAAATACTTCAGAATGTGTTACATAGTCCAACTAACCTACTGCTGACTAACATGGTCTCAGAAACCCCAAGTGATCAAACATGTGGTAACCGCTTTTCCCGGAATCTCCATCATTTTAAGTTAGGATTTTTTTCCCTAGTCAAAACCAGAAGATCAAGACAAACTTGCTTCCTATCTCCCCAAGATCAAATCCCTGCACATCTCTGTAATCTCAGTGACAGAAATCAAATGTAAGCTGGGTGAGTAATGAGCTGGTACCTTCCAGTACCTCAAGGGGCCTCAAAAAAGAGGGAGATTATAAAAAGTGAATGCCACCCCTGTCCATGGCATGTGGATTGGAAGATCATCTTTAAGGTCCCTTTCAACCTAAACCACTCTATGACTCCACTTTTCTACACATTATTTCTGTACCATTGTTGCATGCAACTTAGCATCTATCATGTGATTTAAAATACACAAGTGTGTAATTAAAAAATGTTCACAGTTTAATAGAATACTTTTCTTTATAGGAAAAAAAAAAGCTGAAGTTGCTTTAAGACAGCCAGTGCTGAAGAATTTTAGTCAACAGACCAAACTCCTCAGGGTGCTTTCAAGCACGATGTGGTTCTGCATCATTTGCACTGCTTACTTGCCTTTTTCACCCTGGCAATCTCATTTAAATTATCAGGAGAGTGACTGAAGGAAGGCAAGAAAAAACGTTTTAAAGTTATTGTCACCTGAAATTGTAAAATCCTGCTGTCTAAAGAAATCTTACTAGGTCAGATGTTCTCAGACATAATGTATAGATGACTGATGAAGTTTTGTTCACTAGGGCTAAATTCATGGTCAAATTCAGTGGATTTCTCCAGACCAGACTGACAGTGACAGCTGGGCCTCTCAGTCAGCTGAATCTGTGCACTACATCAGGTTTCACAGGTCAGTCCAAGGCATGCCTTGCTTGAAAAGAGAAATTTAATAAACGAAGTTGCAAAAAATGTGAGTAAAGTTTCTGCCAGAGTAGTGTAACAAATGAAGGAGAGAACTTCCTGAAGCGTACATGCAAGTTTATAACAAAAAAAAAAAGGCATGCCAGGCCTATAATCATAGAGGAGTAAGACTAACAACACATCTATTAAGCTATCTCTCCTATGCCACAGTTCAATTTAATTTTATGAGCAACAGAAAAAGTTACAGTTTTAAATGGTAATTTCTAATAATCCTATGTTATGTTACAGAATAAAGTTTAAGAGGTGTAAATGCTTTATGTCTATTGTAGAAAAACTTTTGCTATAGCAACAAAATTAACAAAAGCACAATAATTTTTATTGAAGCATTATGTAAATTTTTTTCCCTGCAAGGATGGCTTAATCCATCTTCCCTCGTTACGAAGGGAATCAAGTTTCCCTCACTTTTCCTCTCATATGTAAAATATTTTGATGCCTTTACTTCACTGCACTTGCCTTAACTTGCTGTTTGCTTCTGACAACTGACTCATATTGTACATTGTCTTTCTAGGTTCTGTCCAATGCCTCCAGTTACTGACACTCTCTATTTTTGATTATTACCCTGTTTTATAAATTTGAGAGATACCCCAGCAAAGCCTATGCAATTAATATTTGGCATTTTAAAAGCTAGCTAGTTATGCCTTAGGTTAGTTAAGTGACTTTAGGAAGCTTCTCTAAGCTAGGAGAATATAGGGGGAACCAGATCTAGCAGAATTAAGTGTGCCATGGTGTGAAACTCCACTCCCTCCATCCCCAGCACAATCCAGACCTGACCATGAACCAAGGAGCCCACAAAGGCAGCCACCCACAGCACTGAAATTTTCATCCCTGCAAAATCATGCAGAAAAGGGCAGAGTGGCCCTGCAACCACTGGTGTGCTGACTGACATACAGCTCCTGCTGATAAGGGCCTCATTATGTTTGCCTGGCATTTACTGTTAAGGCAGTTTCATAAATTTCAAACATTTGGGATCATGAAATACCATATTCTGACTATTCAGTTCCTTGGTCCAGCACTCTGGAGCAAAACAAAAATGTTGTACTAAAATAACTGAGTTTCACTGAACTTTCAACTTTCATCCACAGTTGAAAAAACCCCTGCATTTTAATTACCCAAAGCTGTAACTTTTTGTTGGGAAGCTCTAGGCTGAGGCTACAGAGCCCAGAACAAATTTTTGAAAATACTCTTCTACCAGGTGACAGCGTGGGCACAGAATAACCACTGACATTGAACAGAAATATCAGAAACCTGTGAGGACCTGTAATTCACTGACTGTAACAGAAAACTAAGGATGGTCTTCCTAGGCAGGCCTGACTAAGCCTGTCTCACCTCCTGGCCTCATTTAGAGCTCCTAATCTAAGATTTCCACAGGTAAATCATACTACAAATCATCCATCTGCTGCCTGAACACACCCAAACCCTGAGCTGACCCAGCAGAACTTCAGATGCATTCTTTGCCAAAAGAACTGACTGCAGCACAGAGTGTCCTGAAGGGATGAAGTCATTACACTGTGAACACAAACTGGCACTTTCTGCCCCAGAACCTGCCTGTTTTCAAGCTGGAAGAGAAATACAAGAATCTTCCCTCACCTTAGAGATTAGTTTTAGTTTGTGCAGTATTGTTTCTCAGTTATTTGCCATACAGAAATTAAATGGAGAAGTGCACAAATGTGGACACCCCCCTTCCCACACATACCATGCGTTACTTATGAAAAAAAAAACCACAGCCTCCCCCAAACCCAAAACAACAAACAAAAAACCAACTAAATCCCACAAAAAATTCACCCAAAAAATAACCAAAAAAACCCCACAAAGAACCCAAAAAAACACCAAACCAAAAACAACAAAAAAAAAGCACTAAACAACCAAACCAAATAGGGGAAAAAACAAAAAACTAACCAACCAAAAAAACAAACAAAACAAAACAAAACCAAACAAACCCAAACACAAAACCCAATATACAGATTAAGGAGGAAGTTTTATACCTGGAAATTGTTCATCAGCCCATAGTGACACCCTGCCCCTGTCTGACAGGATGAGAAGTCATAGTTTAGTTTGCAGGCTGCAGTAGTGCAGTTTGCCAGCTCGGTGATAATGGTGTCATTAACATTCCCTGTGGCATCTCGAACTACACAAGAACCTACAATGGACACAACAATAAAAAAAAGCATTAACAAACTCAACCTGAATTTAAGGATATGTGTTAATTCCTTTTTATGTAAGCATAATCTCACACAGCAACATTAAAATACCACATTTAGTTTTTTAACACATTACAGTACTAAGCCCATCTTCACTATGAAGAACAAATACACACAGAACAACTGCTCCCTTGGCTGAAACAATCTTCAGATTTTTAATATATCTGATTGTAGGAAGAGACAAAGTTTTAGCACAAAGGAAAACCATGTCAACAGACTTGCAGAAATTTAAGAGCCCAATCTCTGGAAGAGTCCAAGGCCAGGTTGGACACTGGGGCTTGGAGAAACCTGGGACAGTGGAAAGCGTCCCTGCCATGGATGATCTTCAAGATCCCTTCCAACCCAAGCCATTTTACAGTTTTATGACTTCATACTTTCTCTTTTGGTCAATTTTCCTAGAGGAGTGCAGATTTGTTTTGTGTGTATTGATGTTTGCAGACAGGTATACATTCTGTTGCAGCTGTTTTTTTTCCCAGTCACTATGACTTAGCCATTAAAAAAAATAAGTTTCATGAAAGCCTGTCCCAATGTTTAAGTAAGCCATCTCCTAGGTGACCATGACATTTTTTCAGTTGGTTTCTTGGTGAAACCAACTCTCTTTTGTTCATCTATGATTACTTTTAATTTTGCTGGTCAAGAAAATGCTGGAGAAACAGTATTTCTGCCTGTAAGTATTAAGAAAAACTAAAGAGTACTAAAAGACCATCAAGTCTTCTATTTCAAGGGGGTTTTGTCTCATATATGACAAAAAGTAGATCAGATTAAGTATTATTTAATGTTCTGTGGTCTAATAGTAGAGGTAATCAAACTGTTTGAACACCAGGAAATACTTTGGGGACTGGAATTAAATAAGGAGTGGGGAAGAGTCAACAGAGTCAATAAAACTCTCTTTAATCTTTTAGGAATCTGAATGACAAGAACTGCCTTGCAACAAAACCTCGTGACAGCTAAGGACCTAAACTACCTACTTCCAAAGGAAGAAGGCAAAGATCTGCTGCAAGTTTATTCAGTAATATTCCTAGGCATCTATGTATGCTGCATCTCTTCCATGGGGAAAATTAATTCCTGACTAGCTATACCATATTTAAATTCTTGTGGGCCATCAGAACTTGATTAACAGCCCACCACAACACCTGGTCCCAGTAGGTGGACATTAATTAATCCTTCCACTCCTCATTTCTTTTTTAGTTACTTATTATGCCTAATTGGTTAAATTACAATACGTTTCCTACACTAAACACCTGTCTTATGCTTTTCTTGTGCATATGTGGAGGAACTGAGGTGTTTTTTATTGTTTTCTTGTTGAACTGTAAGAGGAAAATGTTTCTCTTTCTTGTACTATACAAGTATTTGCCCCAGCCACCCAATCAGTATACAATGATTTGATAACACACTTCCCAGCTGAACTATTTGTAAACAACCTTTTGTTGGTGATGAGAGTGCAGTGGCAGGCCAATTGTACTGAAAAACTCATTAAATATCTACAGTGCACTATCACAGCCCTCCTCTCCCTCATTTTGTCAAAGTTTAAACTCAGCTTTTGCAGGACTTTCAGATATGGAATCAAAATACGGCAGAAAGAGACATGGCAGTAGGAACAAACTTAATGTGGGCCTTACTGTGAGAAAATGTAGAACAAAGCCAGGCAGGCAGGCTCTGTTCTCAGCAGAAGACACTAAGATAAAAGTAACAATAATAAATGTTACTTTCTGTAAGACTCATTCAAAAAAGTTTCATTTATTTTTATGATTCTGGCAGCATTTTCCCTAAAAGTCTTTAGGCCTTCCCTCCTGTGAAAATAAGATTTCACCTTTTCAAAGGCATTTATAAGCATGTTCCAGCCAAAGTGAAATAGAGCTTTGCCAGGCTTTAAGCATAAGAAAGTTTACAGCCATCTCTATCAAGTTATCTCCTTAATACATGAATTCCAGAGGTATTCAGCCCTTCAGACTGCTGTTCAGAGCATTTAATTTTACTAGTGCTGTAAACACCTACAGTTTGGCTCTTGTGAATTAGTTTTATTTTCATAACCACAGGAAGCAGGTCTTAATGCTACTCAGAACTTTGGTGGTTTTTTTTTTTTTGTTAGAGCTTCCCTTGTTCTTAAAATGATAAATGCTGTTCTTTGAAATGTATCTTCCAAGACTTTTTAAAGCAAATTTGCCTGTGAAATCTGCCTCCACATCCCACCTTCACGTCTGCAGTGGTCCTTTGCTGAATTATGAAACGGCATTCCAATGTCTCAGTTACCTTTTTGAAATAGCTGCCTACCTCTAGCAGCAGGATCAGTAATTTTCCTTCTTTCAGCCCTTTCTACTTACTACAGCGTCTATATATAGTGAGTTAAGTTCAGAACATCTTCCTCCTCTTCACATGTGACTACTCTGCACCATTTACTAGCCCCTTTAAATCTTTAGTGACTTGCTTACCACTCTGGGAAAGGAATAAAAGTATATGTATTTGTCAACTATTCCTAATCCAATGCCTCAAAAGGAGCTAAATTTCACTCATGATCTCTGACTCCTGCTGCCTTTTTCTAACTAGCAGAATTCAAAGCGTAAGTCAGTACACAGCAGAACATTTCTGATTAATCAATTTCACGTCCAGTTAGTCTTGCAAACTGCTTCTTTTGTCAGTTTTTATACTGCATTTTTCATGTTTGGAAGCTGATCAAAGTATTCCATTAATAAGAGAGTATTAACAATAATTTTAAGTCTTGTCTGGGTTGAGGTTCCAAAGGATTCAAATTTGGTAGCAAGAGGTCTGTGCAGTCAATCTAATTAGGAAATGAGTGTAGCTCATTATGCTGCATAAAGCACAATCACTACAGAGCAACTATTTGGCAGAGCTACACTCCCACGTTAGCCAACAGAGGCAGACTAGCAAGATTGGTATCTTTGAAAAGGAAGTATCATTAGTGGTAAGATCAATGGCACTCTTATAAATGAGAATTTCATTCAAAAGGCACCACACCTTATAAAACAAGGTCTTTCATATAATAAAAATTATTATTGCTGTCAGAAACTGCTTTATGTGACATGAGTAAAAAATACTTCTGATCACAGGCAAGAAATGTGCATGATTCAATTACAGTCCTGTAATTTTAAGGTTACTAGAATTATTTTATGCGTGGGAAAAACACAGTAAACCACTGGTGCTCTACAGCAAAACTGGTATCAACCCCAGGGCAACTTCTACAAAGGATTTCAAACAACTGTGGGGTGGGAAAGACGGGAAAGAGAAGACTCAGATCAGTCTGTGATTATTTTTCCTCTTTACACAAGAACATGAACGCTTCCAAAAGCAGGCTGATGGGAACTGAAGGCCTTTCTTGGTGTCCTCCCTCAACTGGGAATTACTGCTCAAGCATCCTCACCACAGTGCTGCCTGATCATCCCACAGTTCACTGCAGGTATGTGGATGATTACCATAATCCTCAAAACAATACATGTGCTTTTCCAGTGGGTATTTCCTGAAAACATGCTTTTCTAATCCAGGGATTATCCCACTGCTAAACTGTAAATCCTTTAAGGTAAGTAACTGCAACAATGAGGCAACACCGATAGAAGTCTTCAGTCATCTTTAGACTGAAGCAGTCAATTTTCTTAGAAAAGCATCAGTTATTTCATGCAATTATAAAACCAGCTGAAAACTTAATCTCCCAACTGTAAAAACCAGAAACCTTTGGCTATTACTTTCCCATGCAGGAAAGTCAATTACATAATGACTTTGCATAACAAATTACATAAAACCATATCGAAACACATCCTCGGAACGAATGTGAAAGGATAAAGTTAAAAACATTCTCTATTTACCTACAGATACTGCAATTCCTACGTAAACCATTGTAGTGATTAGGATGGCCAACAGCGTTCCTTTAGGTATGGCAGACTGTGGATCCTGAAAGAAAAACATCAGTGGACAGTGATGACAGAGGTCAATGCACACTTGAGTGGTCATGAATAACATGAATTATGTTTTTAATTCACTACTTACTGCAAGGTCCCCCGAGATATTTGCACCAGCAAGTATGCCAGTTGCAGCAGGGAAGAAAATAGCAAACACAGAAAAGAAAGTTTCCTCTTGTCGGAAATCCGGCCCAAAATTTTCCATGAATATGTCGGCTGCAGGAGAAGATTTAAGTCTGTCAATATTCACATGGAAGCTGAAGTATGAACCCATTCCAGCCAGTATCAGACCAGTAAAAATGCTGACAGTCACAGAATCTTCTTAAAACTAAATGTAGAACATTTAAGCCCTATTTCATCACTTCAACTCAAAGTAGAAGTCAACACAGTAAACTTAAGCAGATTTAAATGCAGAAAAAATACTTGCAGTATAATCCAGCTTTTTAAAATTTAATGTATATTCAATATTAAGCAATACTCAAGTTTTGACCCAACTGCAGAAGGCAGAAGAAATCAGGAAAAAAGTCTCCACAGTTAAACAGGATTATTAGATATATTGGATGCTTAATTATAGCAGCTGATTTTGCAAAGAAAGGTATTGTTTACCATACTTTAAACTGTTCCAACATACCATTATAACCAAAGAAACCTTTGGGCTTCTTGCTCTCCAGAGGAATAAATGTTCCTATGACAAAGTCTCCAATAGCAAGTATGAGGATCACCAGCAGGACTATCTGTGCCTGAAACACAATGACTGCTGTCAGACAGGAGAACTTGTTCTTTTCACAGTATCAAGTGCTCTGCTATAAAATGTAAATGTTTACTTGATTCCAAATTCAGCTTCACCTTCTCAGCATGTTCTCTGCAAAAAAATGAGGAAAGCTGGAGAGAACTTGTACAAGGATTTTTAATTAATAAATAGGAGTAATTTCCAACTTTTTTGCCTAATCAGAAAGGTTTATTATTACTAAATACTATACTTCTAAAGCAAAATGCTTAAAAGGACTAATTTTTCTATATATAAGCCTTCCAGAAGGAATGCATTTGAGAAGATTCAAGAAATTCACATGAAAATAGCCAAATGCAACACAAATACTACAACTGCATTATTAGCCATGGTCATCCTTTGTCTTATACTTTAGTATGTGGTATTTCCTAAAAATTTTATTACATCCAGAACAAAATAGCTTTTGTTTCCTATTTTATGCAAGGAAGTAGTTTATTTTGCTACATTCTCATGTTCTCAACCCTTACTAAGGAAATTAAATTGCAAACTACAACAATTACTTGTTAATTCCTAGTTTTGAGACTACTTTTATTACAACCTAGATTTTTAGTCACTTTTCTGCAGAACTATTATAAGCCCTACAAGTTGAACAACAAGTACTTTAAACCATCCCATACCTCAAAAGTGTGTACAAAGATAGATCTAGGCACTGAAGGGATGGTTCAGGTCTTTCATTCAAATAAGCAATCACACTGCTGTTATCTTTTGGGTGATTTGATTCCTTAAAAAGGAATGTCAGTAGCTAGGGGGAAGCTATTCACAGACCTTTTTCAGGCCCAGGATCAGGAGTTACTATGCTGTATCACTGTAGCATTGTTCATGCCTACAAAACAAAGTTTTCAGTTCACACAGCCTCTCAGGAAAACAGGGTGGAACAGTGATAAACAGAGCAAAACGGCCTGGAGCAGAGTTAGAAGTCCACCTGAAGAAAACAGTCTGTGCCTTGTATTTAAACCTTTGTAAAGCCTCAAGAATAGGTTAAAGGTGTGAGGATACAGCTGGGTGCTTGCAGAAGCCTTCAGTAAAACAGAAACATAAACATGAAGTTACAACAGAGCAATTGCCACAAGTGGATTTTTCCAGTAACTAACCTAGGCATCTCCCTGAAGCTGGGGTTGTTTGCTGAGTATCTTACTTAAATTCCAAAGTCTGAAAGAATGAGCTTCTAAGACTTCAACACAAGGAGGTGAGTAGTAAACACCACAAACTCTAAAAAGCCATTTTTAAAAGCAAACTTCCCTGGAATCAATCCCAGTCTCTCTTCACTTTTAGATCTGGTTCAAAGGCATTATTATAGATTCCCCTGCTCCATTTTCCAAGGCATTCTCTAAGAAATGGCTAAGGCATAGGACAACACCACAGATCAAGATGGAGACGCCGGTGTTTTGCTGTGCTGAGTTCTACGTTAGCCCACATGAAATGCTTGTTTGACAGGCTCAGTTGCCTATCATTGCTCCCACTTGCCTCCTTCCATGACACAGAAACCAAGTCTTGACTTTTACACTGAGGACAGGACTTTTGAAAGCTACCCCTAAAATAAGGATTGTACTGCAGTAATACCACAAATTCAGGTTTGATGTAGAAACATTAAACAGGGGTATTTTCATGCAAACTATTGTTATAGAACTGCTCATGCTACACAGCAAAATGAAGATACTACTTGTGACTTCAAGTGGCAGCCAGAGGATTATTAACAAATAATTATTTCAAAACAGTTCAGAACAAGGAAGTCAGCATTGTTTGCAGTTGGGTGGACAAAGAGAGCATCACAAATTCAAGTTACAGACAGTGAAGGGCTGCTTGAGAAAGGTAAACAGTTTCTACAGAAGTTCAATTTAGACGTTCATGCCAAAGTCAATTTCTGTTGGTTTCTTTTCTCCTCAGCAGATCACAGCAATGCACATCTTCATTCACTACTTCTAGGATCCCTATTTCTTGGAAGCAACAATGATAAAAAATCCTCTCTCATTTTTATTAAAAATAGCACCATCTTCTTGATGCAGGAGCATAAGAAACTTACAACACTTCATGAGGAGGCTCCTTCAGCTGCTTCTCAGCAGAGAAAATAGGAGCTATTGTGAAATAAATGTGAGTTGGGAAGGAAGCCCCAGTGAGAGGCTCTTCTCAATTTTTTTTTTTTTTTTTGGAGCACATTAAGGACAGATATTCAGAAAAAGCCTACAAGTTGCAGGAACCAGAGAGCAACCTACACTGCCTCATAATGGCAAGCAGAAAACTGGTAAGGCAGAAGAGCTTCTCTGTTAAGATCTCTTCAGTCAGAGCTGACCTAAGGTGAGGAAAGGAGATTTTGCCTCCTACACATTCACCACCACCAGTGTTCAAAACCCTTCTCCATGCTCGGTCTGGTGAATGCATCCCACTGTCTGGCTGTTTCCAGGTGAAAACCAAACCAGAAGAGAATGAAAGAGAAGGGAAGCCAGCCCTGTGCTTTCAGCCTCAGAATGTGCCTAAAGTTTTAAGTAAAGGAAAATTCCCATGCTGAAGTTCTTACCTTCTCTTGTGCTGTAATTGCCCAGAAGAGGGAAATACCATTAATCTATCTGACAATGTCATTAAGAGTGGATTATGCTGGAGTTTAGGTTCTCATAGATGCTTAAGCTTCCAGTGAAGTGTTTTAAGACCTGAAATGTTTTTCAGAGCTGCACATGCTAGTGGCCAGACCAAGAGCTACTGCATTAAAGTCAACTGACTTCTAATGTACAATCATGCAATACTGAATACACTGAATATACTTTAAAAAAAAAAAAAAAAACAGACAGCTAAGGTGCAAAAATGGAATCAAAATTATGAAGCAGAGAATTTTAAAAAAATATGGGAAATCCTTACTTTTGCTTCCCACTCCATTCCCGCAATGGAAATGCCCAGCAGTATAACCACTGTGATAGCTCCTATGATTCTGATATCATTCATTTCATCGATCATCAACGTTCCATTTTCCTAACAAAACAAAAAATACAGAGTCATGTACTTCATCAGGTAAATACTTTCCCTACTAAAGAACAGCATTTTATTCACTATAATTTATTAGTAGTTAATCTACACAGAACAGATTTACTGACTGTAAATTTCCTTTAAGGATACAAGTAATTTGGGTTTTACCTTGTTTTTAAATCAATGAATCTTCCAAATGGAAACAATAAGGACTGTTCAGCCTGACGAAAAAGGAGCTCCAGGGAGGCCTTACTGTGATGACTTAATATTTAAAGGGGTTTACAAGGAAGATGGGAACAGACTTTTGGATAGGGCTTGTGGTGACAGAACAAGGAATAATGGTTTTAAACTAAAAGATGACAGATTTAGGCCAGATGTAAGAAAGAAATATTTTACAGTGAGGATGAGCAGGCCCTGGCACAAGGTGCCCAGAGAGGCTGTGGCTGCCCCTGCCAGTCTGGATGGGGCTTGGAGCAGTCTGGGATGGTGGAAGGTGTCCCTGCCCATGGCAGGGGGTGGCACTGGGTGATCTTTAGGGTCCCTTTCCACCCAAACCAGTCTGTGATTCTACCTGGATGGACTAGTGACCTTGAAAGGTCTCTTCCAACCCACACAGTTCTATGATCAGATGAATCAAAAACCAAGTATAATCTTTACCTTTACATACAAAGTATATAGTTTATATACTCAAACATTCTATATGAAGTGAAAAACTTTACAGATAAAGTATAATCAATATAAGCACATGTACCTTGAGTAACTCGACAACAGTCTCAGCAAAACCAACAACATACATTGCCACTGCCACAGCATTGGCAAATGCAAAAATAAGTCCTATGGCACCACCAAACTCTGGCCCCAGACTTCTGGAAATTAAGTAATATGCTCCTCCTGAAAGAAAAAAAAATACAAATGACAAAAAAATACTCTACATGATAGAGCTTATAACAGACAGTCATCAGCACTTTAACATTTACACAAGCCAGAATCTACTCACTCTGTATTCCCACTCTGTATTAGAAAATAACCCTTAACTCAGTATTTTAGGGACAGATGTGCTGAAGTTTTAGGAATGTATTTCAAGTTCTTAGGCAAAGAGACCAGTTGGAAATAACTATAATTCATGCACCACCTCATATTACTGCATATCAGGTATGCAACCAGTTCTATGGTTAAAAACTGTAGAACACAAGCTGCAGGATAACTGGGCTTTTTACTTCAAACTGCTCAAAGCACTTGTGCAGTCAAGATCAAGGAACTGGCAAAGCAGACTGCAACAAACCCACTGAAGTTCCAAACTTCTGAAGACCTGTTTCTAAAAGCTCTGCTGTTAAAGGAATTTTCTGCCCTCCAATGGGACCCTCAAGAGCCTGTTCTTTGTACTTTTGAGCTGGACAAAAATAACAAATCCCACATGACAAAACAAAATCAGATCGAGTATTACAGGAAGGTAAAGTTTAGAAAATGCAGCAAAGGCTTATTACTCAAACTTAAGGTTAAGCTTTCTAGAAGCAACAAAATCCTCCAGTAACTGAGTGCGTGTCAAAAATCTTTAACAAAAAATACTTAATTTCACTGCATTAGACTTCTTGTGGAAATCCTATATATGTACCCAGCTTGGCCATTCTCTGTATTTCTTATGTAACATTAAAAAAAAAATCTTACTGTAATATTACATTTTCATAGGAACAATTGTTCCTATGAAATTCTACAGTTCTTCCAATTCAGGACTTCAGATTTTCTAATGAAGTACTATTTTTGAAGAGTGACTTAGAAAAAAAAAAAAAAAAAAAAAAGCTCCTATAGGAGTGGGACAACCCAATATACATCACAGAACTAGAAAACAGAAGGGCATTCAGAAACTAAGCTTGACATAATGCTAACAATCACAGCTGCCTTTTCCCATTGGGTCTGTTTACTTTGTGATAGTGAGGCTTTTCTCTTCATTCTTAATCTTAATGAAGATAGTTTTATAAGCTCCTACTTTAATTTCACCATATTTTTTTTCCTAGTAGCAGTTGTGTAATGTCATGAAGCAGTTAGATGGTGTCAGAGGCACCAACCATTTCCAAAAATAGTTGACAACACCACATAAACCATGGAAGAGAATGAAAACCATCACCCTCAGGAAAGCTGGAGCTAACTGAGAGTTTGCAGTGTTACTTGTGTGAAGGTTTATTTCAGGACATGAACACAGACAAGCACGCTCTTAACCAACCAGTGCAGCTCAGGAGAATTATTAAGACCCTACTCATTCCTGGATATGTGTCCTTAAAACTGTTTGTATTACAAAAATTTACACCAATAAAGTTCCTTTTACAGCACAAAAGCAAGGTACTAGTTCAAGTCTAATTAATAGGCTACTTATTGACTTTTTGTTAATTATGTGACTGTTTAATCACACAGAACACACGGAAGGCTTTGCTCCTCAGCAACATTAAAGTGTGCACTCCAGAGTGAGGAAAGCTTCAAAACTTCATGAAAATAGCATTACCTCCTCTTACAAACCCATTTGTGGCTATTGCTGAAGTAGACAGTCCTGTAATAGTTGTCACAACAGTGGCCATTCCAATAACCAAGACAGAGAGACCTTTTGGGAAAAGAGATGAAAACACTGTAAGCCCTGCAGTATTAAAGAGCACAAACCTTCAGCTTAATTTCATTTAAATACTCAAGTCTTGCAAATAGAACACAAATTTACTTTCAAGCAAAAGGCTACCTCTTTCCCCTATCAGGATAAAAATAAAACTGGGCAAAGATTCTCTTTAATCATCAAGATAAGAGCTGTATTCTAGAGATCAATCCAACAGTAAGTTAAGCCTTTAAAAAGAAATGCTTATAGACTACCCAGTCCATATGCAGGGCTTAATAATTAGAGCTCAAAATATTATCTCTACAGTTCACTGAAGACTTACAAATGTAAATTTTAAAATATTTGTCTTGTACCTAAATGAAAAAGTAACTGGCTGAAGTTTTTGGTAAGATAAATTACCATAAAAATTGGCAATATTAAGGTAATTTCCTATTCCTGTTTGAAGTAAAAGCTCAGGATCAACACGTCTTGTGGATCACATTTCAAAGTAATGAAATAAAATTACAGCATTAGTACCCATACCTATCCCAGCTTGTCCTACAATCCATGATAGCCTGATGAAGAGCATCACACCCCAAATATTTAACATACATCGTACCTAGGACAAAACAGAAATTTAACAAAGATTAGTTCTTGCATCTGCAGTCATTTTCACTAATTCTTTATTTCGGTTTTTAATGTTCTTGAAATTATCTTGTTGTATTTCGTCACCATTTTTCAAATTATTTCACAAGAATATAATGTTATCATACAAGTTTAAGTTTGGTTAAAAAAAAAAAAAGGGACTTCAATATGATTAAAAAGTTACTACCTTAAACACAGAGTTAAGAGTATTTCAACATCTGACACTTGCAGTATGCCGTAAGCAAACAATAATAATAATTTAGACCCTAACCTTTAGGATCCAAAATTCACACTATGGAATACATGACTTAAAATAAGATAGGAGTCTATAATGATTGTGAGGTCTAAAACCTCAGTTTGTATCTCCCACAAACCTCTCTCTCTCAAAAAAACCCAAAAGCACTAAAGCAACACCCTACCGAATAACTTACTCTTCTTAAAAGAACAAAAACCCTGCTGCAACTTTCCATTTCTGTAAGTTTTAGATCTTACAACATATCTGCACAATAACAGGATGGAGAGGCGTGCATTTTTTTTTTTAATCCTTGTATTTACAACTCTTAGATCGCAATAAAAATAAGAGCTTGTATTGTACAGAATTCAGACAGGAGACTAAAACCAGATCTCGGGTCTCTCTCTTCCCTGAAGAGTAAGACACCAATCCTACAAAAAAGGAGATAACCTCTCCAAACCACAGAAGTAAAGCATGTGTTCTTTTACTACAGTATCTTTCCTTCTTGGAAATCATGCAACATGAAAACCCTTAAAACCTGTGCCGAGAAATCACAAACCCTTAAGAATTTAAAGCCCTGAAGTATTTATTTCCTTAAAATTCAGTTGAAATAGGAGCAACCCTTCCTAAAATTATGGCATTTATCACACCTCTCATACATATAATCTTTATACTACACTACCACAATGCCTGTCAACAAAGAAGATGGTAGGAAAGATCCGTAAGAATAGATCAGCACCTGTAAGAAACTGAAGAACCATATATCAAACTTACCAGCACACCTTTTATCCAGCCAAACTTGACCACCCCTTTACTGTCAGGTGTGTAAGCAGCAGCTGCATCCCCAGCTGGTGTGCCTTCCTCACCATTGGCATAGCCATCTTCAAAAGGCTCCTTTGAAAACACAAAAAAAGTTTGCATTTTGTGTGACTGACAGAGCAGAGTGAGCATGCAAAACTTATCTTGTAAAAAAAAAAAAAAAACCAAAAAAAAACCAAAAAAAAAACCAAAAACCAAAAACAAACCATCTTACTTGTGTAAACAGAAAAATAAAAAGAATGACACGGCAGAAGTTTTGAGCTGCTCCTTTACGTCCCTTGCGTGACGCACATCTCGGATTTAAAGGAACGTAAAACAAACGTACAAGAGCAAACCATTAACAGCCAGTGTGGTAAATATAATTAAGAATTAGCCCCAGATGCCTAAAAAAGTCAAACACCTGGTCTGTTGAAAAAGAACTGGAAGATTTCAAATGCACAAGAAATTTTACTTCTTAATCTGAAAGCACAGACTGTTCTACCACAAGTTACTGGTCTCTGCTGTAGCGTTTCCTGTGGTTCAGACTTAGCTGTCATTTGATCAATTTTTCAGGAAATAAATTATTCATTTCCCTGCAAACTATTCTACTACTCTTTGTAAGGTGATGCTGCCAGAAATAGGGATGGGAGATTGGCATTTCAGGGAAAAGGAGGGAAGAGAAATCTCTCCCCAAACACTGCTCTCCATTTACATGGGAAGGGTCACAGATGGAGAAAACATCAGCCCCATGGACAAAGGCCAGCTTATGTCTTTTATTTACAATTCAGCTCTCAACTTCAAAAATGGAGAAAATCTCAACTTTAAATATAAACTCAAAATATATGCGTATACAGGCACATATATATATGCCTGCTTAAAAGACAATTTTGTTTTGCCAAAGCAGGCAAGCACCAGAACATTTAAACTCAAACATTTCCTACACTTGCTGTAAGAAAGCAAGAAGCGCTCTAAGCTAAGTATGTTAGTTTATCCAAGGCAACAAGTATTAAGAATGGATACAGTAGAAAGATCCTGAACAACATTCAACAAACCAGCTCAAGCAGCATACTCTGAAGCAGCCTTTATCCCAGGGCTCAGAAAATATTTAACAATTAGAGGTTCAATGAGGTAAAGGGCAAAACCCACATTTGCTACGGAATACACAAAATAGAGTGGACACAAATAAGACTTTTAACATATGCAGGGAAAAACTAATAAAGATTAGGGTGAGATATTTTACCAAATTCTTTCTACTCTTGATACATTAGCACCAGATATATCCTCAGCAGAGGGTCCAGAGGAAATATTTCTAAACCTGTCAGTTATGAAGGCTGTCATCCATAGACTCTTATAATCAGCAGTAAACATACAAACCAGATTTTTAAAAGCAGACTATGTCAACCTTATCCAAAGGTCATCAGCACAGATTCATGCCAGTGCTTCTCTCACCGATGTGTAACTATGACATTCTCACAGAAACAGATACACCTGCAACACATCTGGTGATCCTGTAAGGCACAAGCCTTGCACTGTTAGGTATCCAGATCATTACCTTTAACAGTTTACACTCTTAAAGAGTATATTATATTGCCTCCAGAAGGGATTACAATTAAAACAACAAAAAAAAAGACACCTTATGAGTTTTATATATATATGTATTCTTGCATGTGTGTGTGTGTATATGTATTATATACTGTGTTATATACACTAAACAGAGGACAAACAAAAACTGAATCAGGAGTTATCCAATTTGCTCAACTGCAGCTTTCCTGGACAGAAGTAATGGCTGTAATTCTTGGGAGATTCGCACAGCCTTTGACCAGACGAACCTATTGATTGCTGATTATTTGTATTCAGGCACTCAAGCCAAATCAAGTAGCAGCACGTAATCATTTAGAGTGGTAAGAAGAACAGTGAGGACCAAAAAGAGAATTACAACGCTGCTACATTTCAGAAATGCTGACCTGCCTGAACCAGAACTAAGAAAACATCTCCTACTCAAGCCTGAGGCTCATGCCAGAAGAGGATGAGCCGACCACCTATCCTGCTCCAATAGCTTAGAAGTGCAGAATAAAATGTAAAAAACCTTATAAGCATTAATGTATCCCTTTATGACTTCTTTCAGAAGTGGGGAGGAAACAAAGAGAAAAAAAGATGTATTAAAACAAGGGGCAGATTATAAACCTGTTCATAACTATGCCAAAACCTCCAATCAAGCATGAGACAGTACAACCACTTATTACTTGTTCATATAAAACCCATTCTTATTCCTCACAGAAAACCACCACATTATACTTGGAACAAACTCTACTTTAAACCATTACATAAAAGGAGTCACATTCAAATTATCTAAACAATTTTTAAGCTTTGGCCAAAAGAACTTGCCAACATTAGATAAAATCTTCTGCTATTACAACAACACGCATCATGTCTGTAATAAGAAATAACAAAATTGTTCTCTGAGAAGAGTGGTCAGGGAGTATCAAGGAACGGTAGGAGGAATCTTTATCTTCATGTCTTAAAATAGTGAAATGTGACTAAAGTGGGTAATGCCTTTTTTTTTTTTTTTTTTTTTAACAAACTTGGAGTTTGTTTACTGTATGTTCAGGTTTGGTAAGAAGGTGGAGAAATATGTTTGTATCTAGTCTAAGAAAGGATCACACAGTTCATCATGTGAGCATGACAGGCCAACTATTGGTAAAACCTCCACATGTTGCCAATGTGACCCCCAAATGTCACCCCAAAACCTCAACCACCATGTGGCAGCTACACATTTTCCTGCAGTGCTCAAATGAGCCCATAGCTCAGCCTGCTGTGTTCTGGGGAGGAGATAATGGGTTATCAGTTACCAGATCAGCTCCAAGATACTGCACACTGTGAACACAGGAAAGTTTTGTTCTGTATGTCTTGTCTCTCCACACCGTGCAATATTTCTTAGGAAAATATTTTGAGGCACAAGCAAAATGCAATAACTGAAAGGTTATTCCTGGTTATCAGTGCTGGTGGGTGCCCAATAAAGCACCACTGAGAACAGATATTACAGAGTGTGGGCACAAAAGAATTTCACTCCAGAAGGCTCCAAGTGCAGCCCTCTAAGGCGATATTAAGAAAGCACCACTGTGGTTTCAGCTGTAAATCAAGCAGGCGTAGTATTTTTCATGCTCGTGTTCATGAGGAAACAATGCTTCTACTCAAGTCAGACACTGAATGGAAAAAACTGCCCTAGCACTATTTTAGAACAGCCAATACATGTGTGATAAGATCTTCATAAACAGTAAAAAACACTAACACACTGTGGATTTGGAGGGGGTGTAACAAAAGGGGAAAGAAAAGAGGGTTTAACATTTCAGATCAGAAACAGTCTTATTAACGCAATTCTTAAAACAAAAATAATCAGTTCAAAAATAGTCACGGTATTAATTTGCACTGTTAAAGGAAAAATAACATATGTTTACAAGCTGACAATTCTATCATACACTGAGAGGACTTCAGACAAGAAACAGTTAATTTCTGCTCCTACACAGATAATCTACTATTTCATCTCCAGTGTTGGATCATAACAATAAGTCATTTGTGACAACTGTGAATAGCCTCCACATCTATTAGACATAGATTAGTAATGAGAAAATACTTGATATTTTGGTAGAGGAGATCTGAGATTTTTCACACACAGCCTGTAATACACTGGTGCATCAAAAAGTTCAGTAAAAATGGCTTTATTTAAGAGTTCTTGACAGTGGTGTATGTCATGCAGCATAATTTTTTTTTGTGGTGAACTTATCTAAATCCCATCTTAATGGCAACATACTTGGGCTATGTTGCACTGTATGAGGTAATACCAGAATAAACACACATGAAGTCTTACTTCTTTTCAAGAATCACAACTTGGAAGCCACAAGTCAAGAGCAGGACCACCAGCAATTTGTATGTAAGACAGTTTTCTGGCTCTCTAGTCAGATTGCTGCCACTGTGAACTGCCTGATTTGGTGTGTTCCAAGTAGTCACTGACTTCTTCAGTTAATCCCTCCCATTGCTATTAGTCCTGTGCAAAACCAGGAGGCCAGAGAAGCACCTCAGACTGCAGCAATTAACTGCTTTTCCCAATCCTCAAGTTTGGCCATTACAGATTCAGCACATGCCATGTAATATGAGGCTCTTCTCACACAAACTCCCTAGAAAGGCTTCACAAAAGCAGCTTCTTCTCATCTTGGCAGGATACAGTACTGAAGCTGGTTTCAATAGTTTATATTATCATAATGCTAAAAATCAAGAGCCTAACCTTTTCAAGCTGCAGCTTCTGGAAAGAAATATAAAAATGGCTTTCCACTGCATCTAATCAAGTTGCTTACACTTAAAACTGCTTTGTACCTGCACTATAAATTCTGATGCTACATCCTGATACATACTTTATTCTGATTACATACCTGTATTCTGTTAATGAGCATAGGTCTCTCATGCTTACTGAAAACAGAAAAAAAATGAAGGGACCTACCCTGAGAAACATCTTTGCCCAAAGAGTACTGGCAGAACAATTCTACGCCCTCTCACATATCTTCTGCAGTTCTTCACTGAGGCTCACAGCTCTACTACCAACCTGCTCACTAGCCCTTACAACCATGATTTCTTGTTTCCATCTCTCAAAGGTTAATTTTGCAGGCATTGCCATTTTAAGATGTTCCTTATTTTGTGGAAGGGAAGAAGCAGTAAAAGGTATTGATCCAGATGCAGCGGGCCATCTGTGTCAGAGGCAGAATCATTACTTGGAGAGATTATACTCCCATATATCCCAACTCCAGTCCTGCACACTACTAAGACTATGGCTACAAAACCTGCTTTTATCAGAATTAACACACTTCAAAACATACATGAAAAAAAGAGCTTATAAATGTTGGTTTTGGTTTTTTTTCTTTTCTAACTAAAGGGTACTTGAACCAGAACATAGATGCAATAAAAATGACAGAATAAAGAAAGCTATCAAGTTACATAAGAATTACTAGGCATTTCACCTCAAATGATGGTAACACTTCAAAGGATTTTTAAACACTACCAAAGATATTTTCCTTGAAAGAGCAAATTAACTTTTGGACTCTAGCTCC